AGATAGTCTTGTATTATTGATATTGTATTCTAAATAAAGTATAATCTTTGCTCTTTCATTAACTTTGTAACGAACTAGCACAGTGAAGTAATATTCCACTTGGACACTGTTGAGAGCCTCTCTTCCGTGTCTTATATTACTTGTGTTGAATCAAGAAGGCCGACACTTGTAACAATAATAAGAGTGAATGCAACTCAGAGAAAAATAAAAAATGAGATTAAATCATATTTTATGCAGTTCAATCAAATCATCTAATTAATTATTTTTGTGGACTGAACAAACTACCCAAGCCAAAGTACTGAGCCACTAGTAATGATGATTATGCCCTTTCGAATACACAACACACATAGTCAGAGGCCTTATCGTCAAGAGGTGAAGACTCAAATAAAATTTTTTGCATAACTATGCATACTCGTAAGCAAGTGACCTGGGTGGCTAATCTATCAACACAAAAGCGATTCAATACAAATTAACAAATTTGAAATGCAATACATACCCAGTTCAGATCGAATTTAACTTTACTCATCTATGGTAGTATAGGAACATTGATAAGGTATTGCAAAGCAATGAGACAAGTCTCTTAGATTTTGTTTATATTTTTTTTTTCTGGTAAATACATTCAATCACTCTCTGTGATGTGGTTCAGTTGTTTAGGAAGTTTGCATCACCTTCCCTCTAATACATGCCCCATATTGAAGATGATGATCACGCCCAAGATAAAGGAAAATGTTATGTGTTTCGAGGTAGATACATTCAAACTATTTCTTAACTCATAGCTCAGTAGACTAAACTGCGAGAAGCTCGTTCGGTCTTCCTCTCCTTACTACGTAGACAATTATAGTGATGATCACGCTCTCTAAAATTGGGTTTATAAGCAGAGAAAAAAATAAATTGTAGAGGGTAACAGTCAGATTCCAAGCCTGCTTTTAAAAGCAATGACTGCATCTGAGAAGATTATACATAGTCAGAGGCCCTATCGCTTCTATAACAGAAACAAAATTTTTTGCTTGACTAAGCATACTTGAACAAATAGCTCTCTTATCAACACAATATGAGAAAGGTAGATTTAGTAGGACAAGCACAAGGTGGTAAAAAATTTCAAATAGAAAATGAAAAAAAAAGATGTTATATACGTTAATTAAGCCTCATATACGTAGCGTTCAAGAAATGTTTCAAGTTGGTTATTGTTATGCGGCTTGCTATATTTGGTGTGAACATATCCTCTATTTCAAGGGACAGTTTACTTAGAAACCTATAAATATTTGTACATCCGCAATAATTTTTTCAAATTTTCGATGTTCTACATATAAGATATTAGATATTCAATGTGCGATTTATATACAAATAAATGCCTATAAACATATGTGTATTATTTTAATACAACTATGTACAGAAGTTTATAAGAGTATACAAAAATTCGATCACGATTTTTTTCTATGAGACTGTTAAGTCATGTGTTTCATGAATTAGTAAGGAAATTGATATATTTAGTATAATTTCTAGATACGAATTTATATGTACTCTTATAATTTCGTTCTCAAATTTCCTATAATTTTGTTCTTAAGACTATTTATCAATTAATAGTCAAGTTCGTAGTTATCTACTATTTGAACTTCTTTTAATTTCGCTTTATAAAATACGGGTATATATCATCGATATTAATATATATCTAGTTATTTTACAGTGCTAATATGTAAATATATACGTAGCTAAAATTTTTATTGCAAGATTTATACTATTGTCTTATATATATTTTGCTTATCTGTTATTTTGAACAGTACTTCAACAGTACTTTAACAATAGCTTATCATTATCATTATGCGAGAATTAAAAATTGTCCACGCAAATTAATAAATTGTTATCTTTTACTGATTAAACTGCGATATTCCGTGATCATTCCCTGATCGTGAATAAGAATTTAATAAAATTTCTATGATCGTTCTGTGATAGTTCACTGAATCATACAAATTAAAATTGGCCCGCATTAAATTTTATGCGGTGTTACCTTAATTTCTCATGGTCGATTTTTTATTAAGTTAATAAGTAGCGCTAATATGAATAGCATCCTTATCTAATACACGATCTCACAATAAGAATGGGACTTAAAAAGACTATAAGAGTAATGAGTATAACATTCTTTATCAGTAGTTTTATCTAAATTCATATATCACAGGGATTTGGAATCTCTGCTATCTCCCGAGATCATCAGATCTAAACCCACCTTAAGCGATCGTTGAATCTAAGGAAGGTTAATTTTACCAGAAAAAATAACAAAATAGGCTCAGTATTTGGAACTTATGACTGAGCAGAGTTGCTTTATATAGCAGGATCTAGATTGTGTTAGGGTAACATAATTACTAATCGTATATTTTTTTCTGTTAGTCTGTTTTTTAGATCTAGTGAATGAACGGTATAAAATAAGCAAGTTCTTGCTCATAAGATAAGTTAGCAATAATGTTATTTTTTGCTCATATATTTTTAAAAAAAATGTTTAACATAAGTTACCTGCAATTTAGTTTTAAGGTAATGATTATATGAGATTGTGATATTTATAGCAAAAACTATGAAAGCGAAACTCATTAAAATTTTATATTCAGAAAAAATGGCCACACTTCCTGATGAATTTGATACCGTGCTTGAATTTCTATCTCGTAAATATCTTGATGTAATTAAGTGGAATTATATATTTGAAGATTTTAAAGCAAAGATTAAAGCACGTTTTAAAATTTTAGTCAAAAGAATTGCTTACATACGAGATATTAAATCGGAAGAGAAATTATCTGAAATTTTTAAAAAACCTAAAGATCTTGATAACACAGTATTCATTATAAATCCAAAGCAGTAAAAATATATTTTTTTTATTCGCTTTATGTAACAGCGATATATATTTTTTTATTTGTTTTTTTTTATTATATGTTTTTTTTATTCGTCTGTTGTCATTCTGGCAAAAAAAATATTAAATAAAGAAGAGGTCCGCTAGGCTCCTAATCATCTTTTATTTTTATATTATTTTGACTCTTTAGAGTCGCCCCTTCGGGTCTGCAATACAATTTGCGATTATTAATTAGTGGAAATAAAAGAGTTTTTTTATTAACCTATGCTTTTATGGTTACTATTTGAATTGAATTTTGATATTTATTTTTATAACAATAGAAACGATAAGTTTTTTCACCACAATATTCATCACTTCCCCACTCACCCTCTATAAAATTTCTTATATTCTCTTTTTTATGATCATTGTTGCATATAGGACAGAGTACAGATTTATTAAAATCAAAATAATTACTATATTTAAAACTATGTTTCAAAGTTAAATAAGGAAATTGTTCTAATACTATTTCAATAATGTGTTGTTGCCTTTCTTCTAGGTTTTTAGATAGAACAGAAATTAGTGATCAAGATTTTGATAGCGTAGACTGAATATTTACTCACGATACAAATAAAGTTTTCTCCTCAAAAGATATCTGTATGAATTGAGCATAGATTTTTTCTCATTCTTCCATAAGATCATCGAGCTATACAGTACTCAAACCACTTTTTAGTATACCACGATGTAATAACTCTTCACTGACTAGCCTCTCTTGATCTGTTAAAAATTTATGATATTTTCTAGGGTCTTCTTTTCTTTCTATTCTACCATGATAGAAACGTATATCTCTTTCCAAATCCCTATGAAAATATCCCGTGGTCTACCTATTTTTCTCAGCCTCTGTAATAATCAAAAATTCTTTGGGATTTATTCTATGTTCGATGGCATACTGATAAAGGTGATTTTTGTTTGGTGCTATTACCTGAGTTTTCAACGAGCTGTTTTGTATGTTATGATTATCAGCATTTTCGCTTTGTAGGAGTTCTGAATTTTCAGACTTTATCTAAGGATCAAGCCTAGTTTTTTTCTTATATATTTTATATAACTTGGAACGAAGTTTATCAGATATAGTGGTTGGCAAATCAGTTAATTTGAAATACCAATTCAGATATTTAGAGGATAATATTTTATCAGACTTGGCTTGTGTATCTATGTTGTTATTTATATAATTTCAAAGCAATTTAATTTCTCGCATTAGATATCATGTACTAAAAAATATTATTTTATTTTATTCCTTATTGCGTACTAATGAGTTATAAAGCATAGGACTTTTTGAAATGAAAGAAATGCTTCGCATCTAAAGTTTATGCAGTTATTTGAACTATACACTGTTCACATTTAATATAGTAAGTTCCATTTTTATATTCTCCTTCTATGTCATCATCACTATGATCTAATCTGCATAATGGACATAATGTATTGTTAGTAATTCCATAATAATCGTCATTTCCATCACTACACTCTTTATATAAATTAGGATATTGTACTAATGTTTTATTACAGAAATAGATACGATCATGTATTAGATTGGATGAATATACAGATAATGTACTTATCTCAGTATTTAATGAAGATTTGTTATCCTCACTTATCATATCTTTCGAATTAGAGGTATGAGATGATTAGAAAGAGAGAGCAGATATTTCTGAGCTAGGAGAATTGATAATAGAATTTTGGCAGGAACCTCTAGCTAAAATTTTAGAAGTTGAGGACTCGTCTTCTTGCTTGAAGAAACTATCTATGATTTCTTTAATTTTGTTATTAGTTAACTCTGAAATAGAATTCGCACTATAAGTTGTGATATATTTAATTTTATCTATACCTAAATTTTCAAATAATTTGTATATTTTTACAGCTTTCTGAGTTTTTACTTGCAAGTATTTACGTGTGATTTCTGGGAGTTGTAACCTGTTTCTTCAGATCTCTTTTTACGGAGAATGGAAAGATCCTCTAACATTTTATCATAGATAATTCCTTTCACTTTTTTCTCACCAATTTTGTTACCTTTGGTAACTTTGTTAACTTGAGTTATAAATTTTTTTCCATAGTAGCACTAGCACAATATTTCTTCCTAATTCGCATGAATTGCACCATATTCAGCATCAGTCACTTTATCGAATAATTGAGCTAAAGTAAGCAGTGGTACTATAGAAGAAATTTGGCTTTGTTGTGATAATATATCATTAGAAGAACTAAGAATACATTTTTGAGACTGTGCATCATTTTGAATACCATCAGATATCATTTGAGAAATATTTTCCACACCTTTTTTCCTATGACTATTTTTCAGCAGGGGCGCCCTAACTGAAATTTCAGTCATAGGATTTTCAGAAGTGGAAGTACCAGAGAAGGTGCAGTTATCTACAGTTAACCCGGTATCAGATAGTCCCTTTGGGACTGATTCTTGATCTTGATTAAAGGATGCTTTGTTAAGTTTCTCCTTATTGTGCTGTCTTATTCTATCACTAATATTTTTCTTACGTGCCTCGTCCAGGAAAGCATCCATTTCCCCATCTTCCGGTGACTTCTGATCACTCACGCAAGAAGTGGCGCTATCACACTGATCTGAAATGGAGTTATGTACATTGACAACCCCCTCAGGAGAAATCTCTTGGGTTAGCTTTTTGTTCTCTTCATTGTTGTCCTTTAATTTTTTTACTTCAGCCTTAATCTCAGCAATCTCAACATCACGCCTAACATTCTCTGCTGAAGAATCTGTCTTATTTTTCTCTAGTTCCTCGATTCTAGCCTTGAGCTCGGCATTCACAGCATCACGCCATTTACTCTCTTCCACAGCCTGTCTTAGAACCTCAGCAATCCTTCTATTAAGCTCAACTTTCTCAGACTCATTCTCAGCTAACTTCCTTTCAAGATCAGAGATCTCTGCAATCTTATCTTTAAGCTCAGCATTCTCCTTCCTGAGCTCCGCAATCTCAGCATTCTCAGCTTCGACTTCGATATTCTTAGCTTCAAGCTTTGCATACTTCTTTCTAAGTTCGCTAATCTCAACTGTAAGCTTGGTATTTAATTCCCTTAGCGAAACAATTGTATATTGCGTGTCTGCCATCGTTTTATATAATGTGCAGACATATTAAATTCTTTATCGTAGAGATATAAATCACGTGATAAAAATCGTTGGATTAAATACAATAAGTAAAAATGCCAAGAAATTTCAGCGAACAATGTTCGTCAAAAAAAAATGTCAAGAAAAATTTTCGATCGCATCAATATCAATACAACGTAATAAAACCCCGAAATACACATG